CTCTGTAAAATATCAATGAAATATATTTAAAAGAAAAAAGAAAAATAAGAAAAGTATATTGTATTGATTTTTTTACATAGAGAAAGGGAGGATAGAGAGTTAGAAACATTGATCAGCTGTCTCCTACACACCTCCTACTGGGGATGTGTCCCCAACCAAGGTCCATGCCCTTGACCAGAATTGAACCTGGGACCTTTCAGTCAGCAGGCCGATGCTCTATCCACTGAGCCAAACCAGTTACAGCTTGGAGAATATTTTAAAAAGAGGTTTGTGTCTATTTTTTTTTTTACTTTTTATTCAATCCCAGAAATTTCCCTCCTCAGTCCTCCCCACTCTAATTTTTTACCAGGAGACAGTCTGGCAGACACCTCCCAGTGAATTTCATGTAACCCCGATATGTCTTCTTTGAGTCTCATGTATGAAAAAGGTGCACAACTGCCGTTCCTCTTACCATTACTCAATCTGTTGTTATTTTGCTTCCTGGCAAATATTGCCAACTTGGGTCAAAGAAACTTAGAAAAATTCCCCACAGGTTTGGACATTCCTTACAACAACACCAAAAGCAATTGACTCATGTGAAGCAGGTGCAAGTTACATGGAGGGGTGTCAGCATTTCCAGGGTGTCAGCATTGACTGAAGACAGATTTACAAACACAAATTTAGAGCCAACCCAGAACACAGCAAGCTAGAGGTTTCTTGTTGCTGCCAGAGAACTGAAGAAAATGCTCAAGGCTCATGTGGCTTTGTTTGGTATGTGTGTGTGACTGTGTGTGTGTTTCTTTAATCCTCACCCAGGGATGTTTATTCTCTCTCTCTCTCTCTCTCTTTTTTTTTTACCCTCCCTCGACTTCCATCTGAGATTCTGCACTCTCTCCCATGCTTCCATGTCTCTGGATCCACTCCATTCTTCAGTTAATTTTGTTAATTAGGTTCCATCTATGTGTGTGATCAAGTGATGCTTTTCTTTCTCTGACTGACTTATTTCACTTAGCATGATGCTCTCCAGGTCCCTTCATGCAGTGTGAACGGTTAAGAGATACTTCCTTTTTACCGCTGGGTAGCATTCCATGGTATAAATGTACCACAGCTTTCCAATCCATTCTTCTGATGGGCATTTGGGCTGTTTTTAAATCTTAAGTATTGTAAATTGTACTGCTATGAACATAGCGGTGCATACATTCTTTCTGATTGTTGTTTCAGGTTTCTTAGGATATATTCTTAGAAGTGTGATCACAGGGTCAAATGGGAGTTCCATATTTAATTTTTTGAGGAAACTCCCTATGTTTTCCATAATGTCTGCACCAGTCTGCATTCCTACCAGCAGTGTACTAGGGTTCCCTTTTTTCCATATCCTCACCAGCACTTGTCCTTGGTTACCGGTAGCCATTCTGACAGTTATGAGGTGGTATCTAATTGTTGCTTTAATTTACATCTCATTGATGATCAGTGTCTTTCACCATTTTCTCACATGTCTCTTGGCCATCTTATCCACATTGCAGCCCAGGCAGAGTTGACACTTCGAATGGCCCCAGAAGCAGATGCTCTTAAATAGTGATGTCTGTTTTGAGACATTAACTTCGTTCAATGGAGGCAGGTTAGATGAGTTAGTGAGCAACCTCTGCAAGCTACATTTAGCCTGAAGGAGACAGATGCCTAATGGCCTGAAAGAAGACACAATGCCTGCCATTCAGAAGAGAGCTGGTCCTGTAGAAAGATATGCAAAACCAGCAGCTAAAGGAAGCCAGGCAGGTGCCTCAGAAACAAACTTGCCCTAGAAATCACCTCCCCTGAAGGCACTGGAGGGTCCTGAGTATACTTGGTGTTTTCTTGGGCTAATTGCCCTCAAAACCAGTCCTGGAGTCAGCTGAGAAAATACAGGATCCTGGCGTGGAGCCTAGGAACTACATTACCCAGAAGTCCGCGCGCGGAATGTCACCAGGCCGAGCCAATGGAAGCTCAGAAAGGGCGTTTCCGTTTTTCAAGTTCTGGAGCGCGTGACCGGTAGTCTTTTCTCCATTTTGTTTTAAGCGGTGGGCGGTACCTGGTCTCATAGTCCAGTGGAGAAGGCTGGAGAGTGGTGCTCCCCGCCTCGCAGCCCGTGGTGGGAGCCTCCAGTGGTGCTCACAGCGCACACGTGGGATTGAAGCTCGGACTCGCCACCAGACCCGCCCAGGGCCCGGCCAGGGACCGCCGTTCCTGCAGCGGCTTCTGCTCCCGCCCCGCTCCGCCCACAGAGTGCAATGGCGGCGCCGGTGCTGAGGAGCTGGGCTGAGGTGAGTTTGTGTCCCCCAGGCCCTCACCGCCTCTTACACCGAACAGCACAGCCCGGGTGCAGGCGCCTGTCCTGCAGCTCAGTACGCTAGGAGGACCGTGAGGAAGGTGGAGGGGAGAGAGGAGTGTTGCGGCTTCTGAGGACACAGCAGGTGCAGGGCAGAGAGGACGGGGGTGACTTGCATCTGAAGGTCCCTGAGGATGTGGGCTGTGAGTATTGACGGAAAGATCAGAGGCTGCAGGGTGGACGTCACAGACTCATTCGGGGCTTTCCCGGGTGTGGGGTCCATCAGGGGCCTGGGGTGGGCCTGGATCCGGCTGGACTACAAGCTCTCTACACGCCATATGCCAAGTTCATGGG